ACAAAGCAAGGAGAGCTTTCTATGCAATAAAAAGAAACATTAAAATCTACATTCCAATAGAAATCTGGCTTAAAAATTTCCAATTTGTACTAGAACCAATAATATATGTATATGCTAGCGAACTTTGGGGGCCGAAACATAATAAAGAATTTGCCAAATGGGACAAAACAATCATAGAACCTTTCCATACTGAGTGTAAGAGCATCCTGCAGGTGCAGAGAAAAACACCAAATAATCTGTGCAGAGCAGAGCTCGGCAAATACCCCCTCTTACTAAAAATACAGAAAAGATCAATTACATTTTACAATCACTTGAAAACATTTAATGCCCAGACATCCCATCACAAAGCCCTAACATACCAGGAGCTGAAACCAGAGAAGAGCCCCTCAGCCAGCTGGTCCTGGGGCTCTCTGCAGTACCAAGTCCCCAACAGCTTCAGGACAGCAACACCAACTCAAGCAGACCAAACCAAATTATCAACAAGCAAAAAGAAAAATATATTGAATACTGGAAAGAAACGACCAAAACACAAAGTAAATTCCAATGTTATCTGACCCTAAAAAGAGAATTCACACTGGCAAATTACCTGAGCACAATAAAATGAGAAATTAAACTAAACTAAGAAAAATGTTGACAACATACAGACTTTGTTGTTTTGTTTTTAAATTTCACATTTGATACTGATTTTTTCAGTTGTTTTTTTTAATTAATTAATTACTTAATTATTTTTTGTCTATTAATACACACACACACGTTTATGGTTTTATTTATTTATTTTAATTTAATATATTATTTTCATTTTCTCACACACACACGCTTACTGCTTTATTTATTTACTTTTATTTTTAATATTTATTTTTACATAATTTTTATATTTATATATTTTTATTATAATTATTTATTTATTTTTATTAATAATTAGATAGATAGATAGATAGAAAATGTCCTAAATAAGAAAAATGTTGACAACATCCAGACCGAGTGAACACAGCCTGGCCATAGAAAAGGGTCGCCACAGACAGAGCTGGCTACCACAAGAGGAGAGACTCTGCTCAGATATTAGGAACAGATATTGGGTTGTAACAGTAATCACTATTCTATCACTCTGATGACTTTGCACATTTATGGGGTATTTTTTTACTAGAAATAATTACATGAGTAATATTTCACATCCATTTATTTCATATTGGACAGCCTACCCTGACAATTACTGTCGGCCTCAGTGTTGACATTACACAAGCTACTGTGATACATGTAATATTACATGCACACAACACATTACCTCTGTCCCTTCCAAACAAATGCTTTCTACTCCACTGGGCTCTGGAGGTCACTGCTCAAACTCAGGCCACCTGACAAATGTAAGACAGAGTGTATGTTGGTTTAGAGAGTTTATGCATAAATACTAAGCTAATGTTATGTAACAGAAACATTTCAATAGCAACAGCTATTGAAATGTTGAGGTTAATGGCTGTACTTCTGATACCTCTGCTACCCTGGTGGTATGTCTCTGTGGTGGGTCTGTCTGGTCATCTCAAATTTGTGATTATGGCAACAGCTACAAAAAGTCCAAAACAATTAGAAGAAATAAGTTATCAGTGTGTATCATGCTACAAACATTAGCATTTACATATTTACACTGCACCTTGTTACACTACTGAGCAATAAAGATATTTTTAGTTCCAATACGTGTCTCTTCCTCAGTTAGCCAATTCACAACATCACATTCCACATTACTTTATTTTACAGCTGGGCAACAGTTAAATTTTTTTATAACATTAGCTTTGCAGTAGAGTCCTACTAAAGCAACTTAACGCACCTACTACTGTGTTTATTTAAAGCCCCCCTCCAGTGTATTTTGATGTTTCTATGATATTTCATAATTTCCTTACAATGTTGATTACCCACATAGTTCGCCAAATATTTTTTGCCTCGTTAAAAAACTGTCACGCCGTCACGCCTCATTAAGTCAGAGCATTAAACCCATAAACATTGTTGTTTAATTTATCATGTAATTTACTTAGAACTTACAGTAGGTATGTCTCTCTGTGTCTGATGGTCGGTTTGTCTTTCTAGTTTAGTTAGCTAAGTTAACTAAGTTGTAGTTAGCCAGGTGTAGTTAGCTAGCATAGTTATTGCAGAAAGTTCATTTTATCATTTTATTTTTTAGTTTCCCCCTCTTGGTTTAGTGTGCTGTTCATTTTCATTATGGCATTTGTGCGTGCGGTGTTGGAGGACAGATGACTGCGTCGCACTTTCACCTGCCACCATTTTATATACAGTCTACAGTCTTACGGGGCGGCCGTTAATCAGAAGGTTGGCGGTTCAATCCCTGGCTCCCCCTGGTTGCGTGTCGAAGTGTCCTTGGGCAAGATACTGAACCCCGATTTGCCCCGGCGGCTGTTCCGCCAGTGTATGAATGTGTGTGAATGTTAGTTTCCATTTGAGCACTTAGGCTCAGTGTATGAATGTGTATGACTGGTGAATGCAGATGTAGTGTAAAAGTGCTTTGAGTGGTCGAAAAGACTAGAAAGGCGCTAGACAGTAAAGTGTACTAAACTTTACAGTGTAGTGATGTTAAAATAAAACTAAATTTATGATATTTTCTGGTAACAGGATATTTTCTGGTAACAGGACTCACAGTAAAGGCGCTAGACAGTAAAGTGTACTAAACTTTACAGTGTAGTGATGTTAAAATAAAACTAAATTTATGATATTTTCTGGTAACAGGACTCACAGTAATGCAAAGTTACAGTTACAGTTAAATGGAGTTGAAATTGAAAGAGTCTATGAAACCAAATTCTTAGGTGTGATCTTAGATAATAAATTTAGTTTGAAACCACATATTGAATACATTAGAAGCAAGGTAGCAAAATCAGTCGGAATATTGTATAAAACAAAAGATCTAATAAATAAAAAAGGCTTGAGTATTATATATTCCTCCTTAGTTATGCCTTATCTGTCATACTGTTCAGAAATATGGTGAAATGCAAATAAAACAAACATAGATGTGTTAATTAAGTTACAAAAAAGAGCTATTAGACTTATTAATAAGTAGGATATCGCGAACCAACCAACAAACTCTTTATTCAAAGTAATACCTTAAAATGTACCGATATTGTATATATATAAATATTGGAAATAATGTACAGAGCATTTAACAAAAGTCTTCCATCTGGTATTCAGAAATTATTTAAGTTAAGAGAGGGTAGATATAACCTAAGAGGCCTGTTTATGTCTGAATGTGGAAAAGAAAGAACTAATGTAAAATCTAGATGTGTTTCAGTTATGGGTGTGAAATTATGGAATTCACTAAAAGATGATTTGAAATTATATACTTCTTTGTTTAGCTTCAAAAGATCTTTAAAAAAGAAAATTGTTAATGATTATTCAGTTAGTATGTAAATCTTGTTAATACTATGTAAAAAATGTATGTGCAGTATTGTATAATTATGTATACTGTTTTTATAATTTATAATGCTGATTCTTCAGGTATATGGTTAAATAGGGTAGGCAAATATAAGCCTTGGCTTCAGCCTACTCCTTTTTTGGTTATTTCATTGTAAATTTACCAAATAAAATCATTCATTCAGTCATGTTAACACAGCATATCGTTAGTGAACACTCCAGCCGGTCAGTTTTTGGCTGTCATGGTAAAGTATTACGTCCGACTATTAACCACACCAACCTTCTCTGTTTGAGAAAGAATGTTAACCAAAAACGGCAGTTAAAACTGGCTGGAGGGGGCTTTAATGTACTCCATACAAGGCTTCAACCCATCCCTGTGCTTCAGTTCTGAAGTGAATCCTGGTTTGGTCCGTTACTGGTCCTCTCTATGAAATGGTTAGTAACTTTACAGTAAAGACACAGTGTTGAGCAGCCTGTTACACCAGCTGTGTGTTCAAACTTAGCCTAGTTATTAACCTAATGTAAACACACCACAGAGAGAATTTACAACAAAACTCTAACTTAATTAAAAAATATAATAAAACAATAAAAAAAAAACAGTTTCCACAGGCCACAGGCTAGGTGTAGCTCTGTCATAGCATTATACTCACTGATGGTAAAACTGCAGTTTTTCTGCCCCTCAGCATAACATGTCATTAAATATATGTAATTTAGCTACATGGTATTCCAGTAGTGACCTCATTTATTGATATGATATTTCAATATCATCTAGCTTACTATGATGTGCTAAGATGCAAAGTGGCTACCTAGCCAGAAAGCTATTGCACATGGCCACCTGCCATAGTTAAGACTTTATGCCTAATTTAATCTAATGAAGGTCTGCCGAAGTTATTGTGGTGCAACCCATAGCTGATTTAGTTACAAACAAACTAGTTACTTAACCTCTAGTGTAGGCTTTAGGAGATAACATACAATACAGGAAATGGTCAAAATTACTCTTCCTCAAGGACGTTGACCTGTCTGTGACCTTAATCGTGAATCTTGTGGATTGAATTGAGAGAACTGAAAGTGAAAGTACACAAAGAGTTGAATTTTTAGTGAGGCTCAAACACAGTTTCAGTCGCAACTGAGTTCAGATTAATGATATCACATTCAGTTTCAAGTTTATTGGAATTCATTTTCAAACTAATAAATTCAAATTCAAATTAGGCTATTCAGATTCAGTTTTTCAGGGGTGGTTAACACTGTTGCCTCACAGCAAGAAGGTCGTGGGTTCAAACCCCGGTTTCCCCGGCCTTTCTGTGTGAAGTCTGCATGTTCTCCCCGTGTCTGCGTGGGTTCTCTCGGGGTGCATGTGGCCTAAGTTGACTGGTGACCCTAAATTGTCCTTAGGTGTAAGTGTGAGTAGGAGTAGTTGTTTGTCTATGTGTGGCCCTGCGATGGACTGGCGACCTGTCCATCGCAGGGACTGCCTTTTGTCAGCTGGGATTGGCTGCCCGATGTCAGCTGGGATTGGCTCCAGCCCCCTGCAACCCTGTACGCAGGATAAGCGGTTGACGATGGATGGAGATTCAGTTTTTCAAAACAGTTGTTCAAGTTAAACAATACAAATTCAGTTTTTTAATGCAATTATTCAAGTTGAGCAATTCAAATTCAATTTCTACTGACACAAATATCAGCCGATACAGGACCCAGCTGATTACAAGGGCCCTCGAAGGATAGCAACAATTGCCATGTGGATCATGATCAGAATGCATTCATTCATTCATTCATACTGTGTAGGCATAATGAGTTGCTGTGCTTTTCTTGGTTGCTTTTGTTGTGTGGTTATTGACATACTGTGTCAGCTACTTTGTGTTGATTTGTTACTGTAGGTTGGCTAAAGCTATTTTGGTTGTTGGATAGTCAGAGTCAGTAGGTTTGAGTCGAAGCAGGTTGTACCTGTCCAAGGAAATAAGGCTGGCTGAGTAAGCAGCATTGTAACTGTCTCAGGGACAATAAGTTCATGAATATTTGAGTTCATATAGCCATTAAAAATGAAAAAAAAAAATGTAAAGTAAGATGTTAAAAGGGCTAACATTAACAAGAAATGTGTCTTCAAATATGCAATTTTAAATAATGGTAAAAAATGTCTTATGTAAGGTTTATTTCAACTAACAACAGAGTAATGGGTAATGGGCCACATGACCAGAGTTAAGTTAAGGGCATAACCATGGCATTATGGGTAAGAGACAATTTGAATGCAGAGCAGAGCAAGGAACGACATACATCCCCAAATTAACCATAATCTGCACTTGGTTTAAGAGGACATTTTCACATTTTCACTGTGTCTGCTGATAAAGGAGAGAGTGAGATAAAATAAATCTTCAAAAGACATTTGTATTATGCGTGGCCATTATTTCTTGGGACCAGTGTAGCTACAAACATCATCATGATTTTAGCTGAATTGTGTCTTTATTTCTTTTATCATATTCTGGTCCTTTTAATATCTTTCATTACCTATTAACTCTCCATTTAATTATTTTAATTTGTTGCCATGTGACCTGGGTTTAGAAAAGTGCTCTACATAGTGTACTGATAGGCTGCATGTTTCTTGTGGCAACGCCTTCATTTGGCGTTTTATTATGGAGGGTACGGCCGGAAGTGTCCTGGTTGTAAAGCCAGGTAACTTGATAGAGCTGTTATCCACAAGACTTTCTTGGTGCCACGTCGAGCTCCGTGGGGAACGGCAGGTTTTTAACTTACTGTACTTTTTGCTGTAACAAACCTGACGCCTGGAACTCTGGGAGAAACACTGCGAGGTCATCGTGGAACTGTTCACAACTCTGACTGATCTGTAAGATAACTCTCAGTGCCAGACTTCTTGAATTGTCAGCAGTATTTTGTCAGTGCTGTAGCTCACAAGTCCTAAAGTTAGTAACTTGCTAACTAGCATAAGGAGCCACCGGATACGGGATCGTAATGTTGACCAACTTACTCAACAGCATATTATAACGCCTGACAGAGAAAATGTGTGGCCATGTAACGTTAGATAACGATGACTAACCTGTACGTCCAGTAACGTTACGTCTTCGTGTTAGCTACCGGGAACTCTTGCACTCGGTCTGTGAGTTCGTGAGGTTCGTCTTGTTACTGACGTAACGTTATAATGTTAGCTGTTGGACATGACTGCTGCTGGGCTAAGACAACTAACGTTACTTACTCTTAAGCAACATTTTTTAGCCCCTCAACTGAGCATGACTTTTCAAATGTGGAGGTAACTCAGGTCCCACAAGCTTTAAATACCATACCACTGTTACGTTCGTGTTTTTATATGTTGCGTTACAAACCATGGCGTAACGTTAGTGCTTAGATTGTTACGTTTTTCCTGCCCTCTTAACAGCTAGCTTTCCATTCCACAGCAAATAAAACTTTCTTTATTAAGTTACTCAGTGAGCAGTCCAGCAGATCTGCATTTAATGCAGTCATATTTACATATGTACATATTTTGGGTGAAGTTATCAATAATTAGTAAAGTTGTGTTTAGGGGGAACAGATGGACACATGAAAATAAAACATTCTAAAGGACTAAATGAACATAGAAAGTTGAGTGCATTCGATCAGTTAACAAAAAGCACCTGAGAACAGGTCTAGATTTAAAGCTGGCTATAGTTGGTGCACCTTTCAATACCTTCAGGAAGTATAGCAGATAAAAGCAACATTAACATGTTTAGTTCTGATAGTAGGTGTTACCAACTGCGTTCTCTCCAGTGATCTGAGAGGGATAGCGTGTGTACTGCTGAAACATGTCTGAGAGGTTTTAGTGATTTCTACACATTGTTAGGGTTAAACATGTTAAAGTGAAGATGACGATTTCACACCCAGTCTACCCAGTAAGAAAGAGGGAAGATCAAGGAACGCCCCCTTAAATCGGAATCCCGACTTCGGAAGTCGGGAGAATCGCATACCCCGACTTTGTGATCCAAGATGGCTGTCGGGGTATCAACGGTTAGTGAAAGCTCTAGTTTATACTGTTTATTAGCACTTCTGTGTACTTGTGTCTCATAGAAATGTTCTGCCGCCGCCAAGCAAAAGTACTTCTTAAATGATGCATTGATCAAATAATCTGTAGAAGCTTTGAGTACTAAAAATGATAACACGTTACACAGTTTAGTCATCCAGCCAACATATCTTGTTCAGTTAAAGTCCGGGAGTCATCAAATGAGTTGTAAAAGTGTCCGCACAGCAGACCTCTGTATGTCAGCTGTTGGGCTCATTGCAGTTACTCTCACTGTCTTCTAACGACTCATTTGTATTCATGTAATTGTGCCCTGGGTTATTGCATTACTTGCATTCTTTAAAATCTTAAATGATGATGCACACTTGGATGGGTTTCATTTGTTTACATAAGGTATTGCCTGTTTTTAATTTTAGTGTTTATGCAAACAAAATGTTGTGAGTTGCAGATTTTGGTTTCGGTTGTTTGGCTCAGTGCGGCAGCGCACCTGCTGCCATGGAAGCTGAGGGCAGGTGGAAAACTCCAGAACAAAAAAAAAGTTCTGTGTCTTTTAGGCGCATCAGTGGTAACGTGTTGGGCAGTAATACTGTAATATTACTTTTCCCAGTAAAGAGTAATGTAACGGATTACTGTTTTCAAAGCAGTAATGTTATTACAGTTACTAATCATATTAAGGCTACACTACTGAACGCACCATCCCTGACGTGAATGTGCAACCGCGCTGCAGCTCAGCGGCACCGGACCTTATCTTGTTCAAGTCAGCTGTTAGCCAAGAAGCTAAAGGAAGACTGGAGAACAGGGAGAGAGAAGTATTTTGGACAGCTGTAAGTAACGTTATTGCCATTACTGTGTCACAGTCTAAGATGCAAAGAACACTGTCGTCTGTTGTAAACTTTGTGCGACCAGCAAAAAGCTTTCAACCACGAACAATTCTACATCTTTACTTAATTAAAACATCATCAGCTAAAGCAGCGCAGCGACGTGAAACTCGGAAAAACTCCGGCCGCTGCTGCCACAGATGCTTGGACTCATCGGGAGAGAGTGGCGTTATATCACCCAGTAATAAGTGAAGTAGCTAATATTACTTTTTTAAGGAGTATATGCTGAGTAACTAGTAAGTAGCTGTATTATTTCTGAGTAACTTGCCCAACACTGAGTTGACAATAAGGATCGGATAAATTGTGTATGTTTTGATTATTGCTTGTTAGAGGCTATGTCTAATTAGGGCCCGAGCATGACTGTGTGACGTCCCTATTGAATTTGCTAAGATTATTATTATTATTGGGGCCCGAGCACGACCGTGTGAGGTCCCTATTGAATTTGCTCAGATTATTATTAGGGCCCGAGCACGACCATGCGAGGTCCCTATTGAATTTGCTCGGATTATTAGGGCCCGAGCACGACCGTGCGAGGTCCCTATTGAATTTGCTCGGATTATTTTTATTTTTTTATTTTTTATTTTTCTGCAAAGTGGGCCCAAATGACATGGCCTAAACATACTCGAAAACTCACCAAAATTTGCAAACATGTCAGAACCGGTGAAAAATTTCGTATTCTACAAGTTTTGCACATGGGCGTGGCAAAATGACTCGCTAGCGCCACCTAGAAAATTGGAAAAGATTAGCCCCTCGTTCACGTTCAACCTACATGTACGAAATTTTCTGGGGACATGTATCGTATCAAGACGCACAAAAAAGCCTCAAGAACCCATAGCCCTAAAACCAACAGGAAGTCGGCCATTTTGAATTTTACGTCAAATTTTTGATGATTTACATACTTCGTACTTTAACGAACTCCTCCTAGGGATTTAGTCCGACCGACTTCAAATTTGTGCTGTGCCTTCTAAAGGCATTGAAGATGAAAAGTTGTGCTATTTGCGAGTTTTCGTCAATGGGCGTGTCCGTGGCGTGGCGTCAAAGATCAAGTCTTTGCCATGACACAGGAAGTTGTTGTAACTTCAGTGTACATGCTCACATCTGAACCAAACTTTACGTGCTTGATAACTCAAGGGGTCATCTTCTCTGCTATTGGTGGACCAGTCAGACAGGAGAGCTCCTACTCTGCCTGCAGACATCAACGATCTTGCCCCTCACACAGTCAGATGGCTTCCTTCAGTGCACTGAGGTGTTTAACAACTCTGAAGACAATACTACCAGCAATGTATTCCTTCTCTTTTCATGTAGACGCTCCGACAGACAGTGCTTTCAGTTTGCTGCATGCATGGACACAGAACTGCGGTATAGGGAGAAGCACACGGTCAGCTGGCTGCAGCTAAATCTGGAGTGCACTCGTATTCAATTCTGTATGGTAAATTCAGTTTTAACGGAGCAGAGCGAGCTGACAGGCAGAGTTAGAGACTTTTTCTGTCCGTTTCTCTCTTTACAAAGACGCATGTTGCAGTCAGTCTTCTCTGAGATGCGAGCACGACATACAACACAATTTATCAAATTACACATCGGATATACAGTATGAAAATAAGACTGATTGGATTATACTCACAGGAAGTATAAAACCTGTTACATGCGTCTATTAAAAGTAAAGTAACACAAAAATGTCAGGGAAATTACTTTACTTAGATTTCAGGACTGCAGTTGTACATTTGAAATACCTTCCTACCTTTCTGATAGGAAGCCTTCTTGAGGTGGTATAAAACATTTCTTCTTATATTCTGATTTGAGTTGTGGACAACTATGACCACATGAATTAAAAAAATTAAACATTTCACTGCCCAAGTCAGCTATAACACAAGTCTTGTTCATCAGACTACATGCTGTACAGTATTTGTGGACAGATTTTGTCCCAGGATTTATTATGCATTTCTTCTTCTTCGTTGCATGATTTAGAATAATAAGGTGAGAAATGGGTCTATTCTGAGTTCATCCTGCACTGCAGCAGCTAATAAAGTCCATTTAATCCCAAAAACGCTTTTCTTTTAGGCAGGCTGGAGCAGAAAACAACTCACCTTTCTCAAGTTGTACAGTAATGTCACATGTGTATAAAGGTGGATCAAACAAGCTAATCTTAAATGTCAAAGTAGAGAGGAGCCTAGTAGGCCTATTTATTTTCATTCATTACACAATATGAATAAGCTATGCAGACAGTTGTAAAGAAAGAACATCTTTTTCTTCTGTTCTCTACTTGTTATAGTTACACAGTATTAGGGGTGTGGGCTGTATTAAAAGTATCCACTGTTCTCCCATGCTCTAACACACAGTAACAATGAAATGTGTGCTGTTCTCACATTCTTCGTCTGTATGTACACATAAACAACAAGGCAGGGAAATATAAAAGGAATTTATTTTATTGTTTGGGTACATTATTGTTCAGTGTACATGCTCACATCTGAAACAAACTTTACGTGCTTGATAACTCTCCCACCCGCAGACATCTACACACCAATACCGATTTATATTCATAGTGGCAAGTGCTATGTAGCTCCACATAGGGGACACAGGAAGTGACATATAACACCTTCATGCGGCGTCGGAACCACGTAGGAAATTCACAGCCACATCAGCAGAGCTCCAGAATATGCAACTCGGCCGGCTCACACGCGGACGCGCTACAAGTGCGAGGGCCGGCCCAACGCTGCTTGCAGCTTTAATTATTATTATTATTTATTTTTAGGGCCCGAGCACGACCGTGCGAGGTCCCTATTGAATTTGCTCGGATTATTATTATTAGGGCCCGAGCACGACCGTGCGAGGTCCCTATTGAATTTGCTCGGATTATATATATATATATATATATTTTTTTTTCTTTTTTCTGCAAAGTAGGCCCAAATGACATGGCCTAAACATTCTCGAAAACTCACCAAAATTTGCAAACATGTCAGAACCGGTGAAAAATTTCGTATTCTACAAGTTTCGCACATGGGCGTGGCAAAATGACTCGCTAGCGCCACCTAGAAAATTGGAAAAGATTAGCCCCTCGTTCACGTTCAACCTACATGTACGAAATTTTCTGGGGACGTGTATCATCAAGATGCACAAAAAAGCCTCAAGAACCCATAGCCTAAAGTCAACAGGAAGTCGGCCATTTTTAATTATACAGCCATTTTTGGATGATTTACACACTTCGTACTTTAACGAACTCCTCCTAGGGATTTAGTCCAACCGACCTCAAATTTCTGCTGTGCCTTCTAAAGGCATTGAAGATGAAAAGTTGTGCTATTTGCAAGTTTTTGTCAATGGCCGTGTCCGTGGCGTGGCGTCAAAGATCAACTCTTCACCATGACACAGGAAGTTGTCGTAACTTCAGTGTACATGCTCACATCTGCACCAAACTGTACATGTAGGATGAGAGTCCCGTCCTGAACACATGTACATGCTGATATTCACTCACAGTCATCTGCTGGCAACAGGAAGTGACCTTTAACGAAGCAGCCCCCGCCGCACGTTTGACCTACATGTATGAAATTTCTGTGGCACGTATATCATGTCCAGACGTACCAAAAAGCCTCTTGGAGCCATAGCCTAAACCCAACAGGAAGTCAGCCATTTTGAATTTTAATTTGGCAATATTGTCTTCTGCTCCTTCTTTTAACTTTATCTTATGTTATCGTGCCTTGAACGCCCCTCCAGGTCGGTCAGCTTGGCCTCCATCTGCACTTGAAGTTTCACCAGATGTGTTGAAACATCCTCCATTGACTGGATCCGGGTCTCTGCCGCATTAATCCGCTTATCGGTTTCTTCCACTCGTTTGTTCATTTTGTTGATATCCTCTTTAATGCTGTTTAATTGCTGGCTGGAGTCTCTCCTGAATTCTCCTAGCTTTTTTAGGATTACACCTAGGTGCGCATCCTGGTTTAGCTCCAAGTCTGTGCCCATGTGTACATCTTCCCCCATATTGCTGCTAGCACGTGACAGTTGACTGTCATCTTCTTCGTCGACGTCTTTACTTTGTGTGAGTATGTAACCCTTGTTACCCGAGAAGGGGAACGAGACACTGCATCGCTGACGACACTATGGGAACGCCTCTGGGTGTGGCAGGGCTGAAATCCTGAATGAAACCACTCCAATCCTATTGGCGTTGCTAGAACGGTAGCGTGTGACGGCGTAACTGGAGGCGTATATAAGCACGCCGGCACACCGGACACATTAGCTCTTTGCTATGAAGCAAGACACTCCAGGCGGGGCGAGGTGTGGTGGACCGACGCAGTGTCTTGTTCCCCTTCTCAGGGAACAAGGGTTACATACATAACCCGAGACATTCCCCTTCGAGGGAACTCGAACTGCGTCGGTGACGACACTATGGGAACGAGAATACCCACTACTCCACGCCTCCGCCTCCGCCTCCGCCTGCCCCCCCAGCGTGCAGTAACCTTAGGCATGACTAAGAGGAGAGCGCACGGGTGCCGGGTGCAGAAGGAAGGTCCAGACTGTAAAAAAGTGTGAGGAGTGGCACAGCCAGCTGCCTCACACAAATCCTGGAGCGAAGCCCCTACGAGGAGGGCCCTAGAGGCCGCCATGCCTCGAGTAGAGTGCGACCTTACGGCCATAGGTGAAGGTAACCCGCGCACCTGATAGGCCAGGGAATAGTCTAAACAATCCAGTTGCTGATCGTGTGTTTAGAAGAGGGGAGCCCAGCTTTGGGGGAACCGAAACACACCAGCAGCTGGTCTGCTTTCCTGCATCGGGAGGACCTCAGAGTGTAAATACTCAGTGCTCTGACCGGGCAGAGCAGATGAAGTCTCCCGTCCTCCGCCATCACATGAGGTGGGGCATGAAACGCCTGCAGCACCGTAGACCCCTGCCAACCTGGACGGAACCTTGGGGACATCGCCCGGACAGGGGTGCAGGATGGCTCTGACCCTCCCCGGGGCAAACTCCAGGCATTGAGGAGAAACCGAAAGTGCCTGGAGATTCCCCACCCTCCTCAGAGAGGTGATAGCGAGGAGAAAGGCCATCATGAAAGGGTCAGGTGCTTTGCCTCAGCCGACTCCAGGGATTGGAAGGGGCCTCAGCCAGCGCTTCGAGAACCACCGCCAGGTCCCAAGTGGGAACCCTGGAACGAGTCACGGGTCTCATCCTCCGGGCTCCACGGAGGAAGCGCACGACCAGCGGAAGCCTCCCCAGAGGCCCATCCCTCAGAGGGCCATGGCAGCCACATACACCTTGAGTGTGGATGGGGAGAGGCCAGCAGAGAAACGGTCCTGGAGGAACTCCAGTACCATAGTCACCGGGCAGGTAACTGGGTCCACCGCCCGTTCTCTACACCAGGTGGCAAACACATTCCACTTCAGGCCGTACGTCCTTCTCGTGGACGGAGCTCTGGAGCTGAGCAGCGTCTCGACTGTCCCTGCCATCAGGCCCACCTCCAGGAACTGGGCCCTCTCAGGGCCAGACCCACAGTCTCCACAGGGCGGGGCAAGGGTGAAAGACCTGGCCCTCCGCCTGAGACAGCAGGTCCCTCCTCAGGGGGACATGCCATGGCGGGCACTCGAGGAGCGATATTATGTCCGAGAACCACACTCGGGCAGGCCAAAAAGGGGCTACTAGCAAGTAGACTGACACCGTCCTGACGGACCCGCTCCAGAACGACTGGGGGAAAAGCATACATGCGCAGCCTCGGCCACGTCTGCACTATGGCATCCAGCCCTAGCGGGGCTGGGGGCGAGAGGGAGAACCATAGGGGACAGTGCATAGTCTCTCGAGACGCAAACAAGTCCACGTCTATGGGGCCGAAACCCATAGACGAACCTGAACCTGAATCTCCTTGGTTCAGGGACCGCAGATCCAAAATCGGTCGCAACCCATCCGTCCTTCTTGGGAACTATAAAGTACCGGCTGTAGAACCCGGACTCCCTGACTGGCGGGGAAATAAGCTCTCTGGCCCCGTTTTCCAGCAGAGAGCGAAATTCTTGTCCCAACACCTGGCTCTGGCCCGCGTGCACCGCAGTCCCTCAGTGCTGGTGGCCGATGTTATGCGTAGGTCCCCGGTGGCACCCTGAAGTGGAGGACCGCCAGGGAAAACTCGCCGGCGACCCACGGTGTGTGAGCCCGATCGTTTTCCAGCTGCAACCCGTCGAGGCGGGCAGACTGGTGAGAGCTCGCTGGCGGTTAGCGTGTCCCGAGCGCCAAGACGGCGGGAAAAACAGCACCTGTTGCCTGAGCCGCCATGAGGGAGGGGACCTCGGTCAGCCTCTCGGGGGGGCTGTGGGCGAGAGCGCCGCATCGCGTCCCAGGTTGTTGAGGGGGACTACAGGAAGCGACACTTCGCTTCTGGCTCCACGGTAGGAGCTAGACGAGGGATGAGCTCATCTCTCTTAGCTGTCGCTGTCCTGGTCCTGGACCCAGACGCCGACATCTGAAGGAACGAAGCAAGGGTGGGAGAAAGATTCCTCCCCCCAAGGCATCGTTCCGTAGCCGTGCTGCTTAGTTTCTGTCACGCTGCTGTAGTCCAGCAGAGGGGACACAGTCAGCCATACAGAGCAGCTTTTTTTTTTTTTTTTTCTTGGTCTGTTCCGTGATTTACACAACTCATTGTGTAAATCATGTGTAGTGCTGGGCGCGCCATGACCGAAGCCGCCGCACCGCCTCAGTGACCGCCAGGCGCAAGCCATGGGGAGAGCGCATCCGGCCGTCTTCGGAAAAGAGAGCCGCACGGGACCTCAGCACCCTCAGGGGCAGGGCCTCGCAATGGCCGCAAGCAGCCCCCTCGATAGCTGCCTGGGCATGCGGCATCCCCAGACAGGAAACACACAGGGCATGAGTGTTCGAGTTCCCTCAAAGGGGAATCCTGTTAATCAGTGCTTTAAGTGTGCTAGCTTTGTTGGCAGAGGGAATCACATACGAAATAGACCCTAACTTTGGAAAATGTCCACTTGATTTGTCTAACTCTCATATCAGCTTCAAATAAACTTTGGAATATATTTTTACACTTTATCACTTACATTGGCATCACTTTATGAATTATCTCCTTATGTCCAGCAGGAGGAATAATTACAGCAAGCAAAAGATGTTTTATTGTTCATATGGACACCTGACTGGTGTAAGACTGACTTAAAAAAATTGTGAACTTCAATTTTCACGCAGCTTTAATATTCTGTTCACCATATGATTGTTATCTAGACTTGCCAATTTCTGTTTTGTCTCACTGTAACAGCTGCTTCGAGGGTGTGGACTTTTACTCCTGGGTGTCATTTATGTGAATGAAACACAATTTAAAGGAATTGATTATGCTTACAATCATATCATAAGAATGCAAACCTCATTAACAGGTGTCGTTCATCAGGCTCAAATAAGGCGTTTACAACAAGTTTGTTCAGTTAAGAGTTTTTTGAATCCAACTTGAAACACTTGTACAAACAAACCTGACTAAAAAAAGCACAAGAGGTTTAGGAGAAGAATATGAAAATGATCTTGCATGATGGAAGTGACGTTTAGTTGTACAACATACTTGTAAGCAGACTCATTTTACTATGTTTCTGTCTCTGCCAGGTTCCTGTGAGGACAGCAAAGAAGTAGAGTGAGCAGTCGTGGGGAAATCATGAGGCAGCTCAAAGGCAAACCCAAGAAAGAAACGTCCAAGGACAAGAAGGAGCGTAAGCAGGCCATGCAGGAAGCCCGACAGCAGGTGGCCACTGTAGTACTGCCCACACTGGCCGTAGTGGTGGTACTTATCGTTGTCTTTGTCTATGTGGCCACCAGGCCTGGTGATATCGAGTAGACTTTCACGTTCTACTGAAAAGACATGAACTCCCAAGCTGACAGGGGTTTGACAAACTGACAATGGCTATACCCAAAGGATTACCCCATCGTGTGATAACCGTTCCTCTGTAGGCCAGTGACTGACCTACCATTACTCTTAGTGAAAACCTCCTCCAAAGTGTTTTTCTTTGCTTTAAGCAGTATTCAAGCTGCAGTAACTGAGTGGACAAATGATTGCTCCTTGGTGCCTTCAGATCAATATATAATATGACATGAATTTAATCCTGTTCATTTTAGAGCAGCTGTTGATGTCTTGATGCAATATCGTGCATACTCATGCACAGCTTGCCAAGTTTGACCAGAGGTGTTGTTGAAACATGTGGATGGTCTAAAGCAGTTTTCCTGTTGTGAAAATATTAAGTCAATGCAACATGAGCCTGGTGTACCACTCTTTGGACAGTGCTCACACCTATCTGCAGGAATGATGTGTAAGAAAAGTGTTTAGGGAAAAAGAAGGATTTACTTTGCTCCTGCCTTGTTTGAACAGCTGAATGCAACTCTAAAGTATCTTGAATGTAATTTTAGAATGTGTAGTCTTCAGTCCATTATGTTCAAACACACCTGAATTCCTCCACTTTCAATGTGAATGTTACTTTTACTGGTTCCATTAAGTTAAAAAATAAATAATAATTAGTCATTTAGCTAATGCTTTTACCAAAAGCGACTTACAATTGCTATATATGTCAGAGGTCGCACGCCTCTGGAGCAACTAGGGATGTCTAAGTGTCTTGCTCAGGGACACATCGGTGGATGTTGCAGTGGGTTAAGTTATTAACAACCACACCATTGAGTCACTCATGACATCTGTGCAGATGTAATAAGGTGCCTTAACAGATTTGCAACTGTAAAATTTCAGTTCAAATAAATGATTTTCTGAAAATATTTTTGAGTTTGGTGGTTTTAGAATCCTTGGGTTATGCACATTTATAATAATAATAAATTAGATTTATATAGCACTTTTCTAATTGATCTGTATTTCTTTCTTCCTTTCTTTATAGCAGAACCAGCCAAAAGTGTATCTCAATGTGTCTTGGGGCTATTTTAATGATCTAAGCGCACAGGGGGAGGCACATGGTGCACATTAGTCTGAATCCACTTTGCGAGTTTAGCGGCGGACAAAATGTTTCGAAAGGGTTGAACTCTTAATTAATCATGGGTGTGTTTTGGGTGCGACATGCAATAAACCAATGGGAGTGTCATTTTCCATTCCCTTTAAAAGCCAGGTGCGCTTGTACCTTGGTGCATTGCTATTTAAATGGTGCATTATAAAAAAACATATGAATGGATCCTTACTGCGCTGCAATAATAACTATGATGAACTGGTCGTGGGTCACACCTCTACTACACACTATAAAACATTAGTTAAGTATTAGTAAATACGGAATTCATCATTTATAAAGCATACATTAATGCACATTAGTAAGTCATTCATAAACACAGTTCTAAATGTTTTATTCTTTATTATCGACACACTATGAAGCAGTTAAGTATTAGTACATTTTTAATTCATCACTTATAAAGCATTGTTCTTACATTAACACACATCAGTAAGTCATTTATACATGTGCGAGGCATTTCTTTTCCCTTGTCAAACCCACAATTTGACTGGAGGGAGCCTCTAACTGAATCAGCCTGGGGAAATAAACATTTCCTCACAGGCCAAATAATTAAGACAACAGCACACAAAGATGCAAAGTCTATTATGACCAAAATGTGTCTCATAACAAGCTCCGAGAGGGGGACAAAGTTTGTCACCACATCTTTGCCCCACTAAGGAAACAGGACGACCAGAGAACAGGAAGACTTGCCCACAAGTTCTCTCCCCACTGGACCGATCCTTCTGTGGCCACATATAAACATTCACCTGTTCTGGACCAAATCAAGCTTCACAAAAATCCCATGTGACTTGTCGGGAACAATAACGTCTTAATAAATTAATGATTAACAGAAATCCTCAACAACTAGGGACGATAGCTGCTAGTGGTTAAAGGAAGGTCAAATTAGATATTTAACATGCGTGCCTTGTAAAACATAACTTGGAAGCCTGAGGATCCACACTGGTTTCTCTTCATTGCGTCCAGATGTTCGCTATCTGAGAGAACAATCTGGCTGAATGGGGGACTGTTGACAAGCCAGTGTGGATTTGTTCATTTTATATTAAATAAATTTGGAGATCCCAAAGTCTTTCTCTCTCCCTGACAGAAAGAAAAGGAGGGGGTTTGAAATATCAACCCTCAACAGACAGCTGAAGCGACCAAAGGAGGAGGTGAAAGGTTTGCCTTCCCTAAGTGCTGTTTTTGGGCAGTTCAGGGCGGGACTCTCATCCTACATGTACAGTTTGGTGCAGATGTGAGCATGTACACTGAAGTTACGACAACTTCCTGTGTCATGGCGAAGACTTGATCTCTGACGCCACGCCACGGACACACCCATTGACGAAAACTCGCAAATAGCACAACTTTTCATCTTCAATGCCTTTAGAAGGCACAGCACGAATTTGAAGTCGGTCCGACTAAATCCCTAGGAGGAGTTCGTTAAAGTACGAAGTATGTAAATCATCCAAAAATGGCCATAAAATTCAAAATGGCCGACTTCCTGTTGACTTTAGGCTATGGCTCCAAGAGACTTTTTTGTGCGTCTGGACAAGATACACGTACCACAGAAAATTTCGTACATGTAGGTTGAACGTGAACGAGGGGCTAATCTTTTCCAATTTTCTAGGTGGCGCTAGCGAGTCATTTTGCCACGCCCATGTGCGAAACTTGTAGAATACGAAATTTTTCACCGGTTCTGACATGTTTGCAAATTTTGGTGAGTTTTCGCCATGTTTAGGCCATGTCATTTGGGCCTACTTTGCAGAAAAAAAAAAAAAATTAAAGCTGCAAGCAGCGTTGGGCGGGCCCTCGCACTTGTAAGCGCGTCCGCGTGTGAGCCGGCCGAGTTGCACATTCTGGAGCTCTGCCGGTGCGGCTGTGAATTTGTTACGCGGTTATGACGCTGCAAGAAGGTGCTATATGTCACTTCCTGTGTCCCCTATGTGGAGCTACATAGCACTTGCCGCTATGAATATAAATCGGTATTGGTGTGTAGATGTCTGCGGGGTGGGAGAGTTATCAAGCACGTAAAGTTTGTTTCAGATGTGAGCATGTACACTGAACAATAATGTACCCAAACAATAAAATAAATTCCTTTTATATTTCCCTGCCTTGTTGTTTATGTGTACATACAGAGGAAGAATGTGAGAACAGCACACATTTCATCGTTACTGTGTTTCTGCTCCAGCCTGCCTAAAAGAAAAGCGTTTTTGGGATTAAATGGACTTTATTAGCTGCTGCAGTGCAGGATGAACTCAGAATAGACCCATTTCTCACCTTATTATTCTAAACCATGCAACGAAGAAGAAGAAATGCATAATAAATCCTGGGACAAAATCTGTCCACAAATACTGTACAGCATGTAGTCTAATGAACAAGACTTGTTATAGCTGACTTGGGCAGTGAAATGTTTAATTTTTTTAATTCATGTGGTCATAGTTGTCCATAACTCAAATCAGAATATATGAAGAAATGTTTTATACCACCTCAAGAAGGCTTCCTATCAGAAAGGTAGGAAGGTATTTCAAATGTACAACTGCAGTCCTGAAATCTAAGTAAAGTAATTTCCCTGACATTTTTGTGTTACTTTACTTTTAATAGACGCATGTAACAGGTTTTATACTTCCTGTGAGTATAATCCAATCAATCTTATTTTCATACTGTATATCCGATGTGTAATTTGATAAATTGTGTTGTATGTCGTGCTCGCATCTCAGAGAAGACTCTGACTGCAACATGCGTCTTTGTAAAGAGAGAAACGGACAGAAAAAGTCTCTAACTCTGCCTGTCAGCTCGCTCTGCTCCATTAAAACTGAATTTACCATACAGAATTGAATACGAGTGCACTCCAGATTTAGCTGCAGCCAGCTGACCGTGTGCTTCTCTCTATACCGCAGTTCTGTGTCCATGCATGCAGCAAACTGAAAGCACTGTCTGTCGGAGCGTCTACATGAAAAGAGAAGGAAGACATTGCTGGTAGTATTGTCTTCAGAGTTGTTAAACACCTCAGTGCACTGAAGGAAGTCATCTGACTGTGTGAGGGGCAAGATCGTTGATGTCTGCAGGCAGAGTAAGAGCTCTCCTGTCTGACTGGTCCACCAATAGCAGAGAAGATGACCCCTTGAGACACAGCCCCTCCTCATTTGCATAATGAGGCAGAAATGCATACAAAATTTAAAAAGACAGGCAGAAATAAATACCATGGGTGAAAATAAATAAGGTAAATAAATACAAAGGAATAATAAAACAGACAAAAATATTAAAACACACACATAAATAAATATTAAAAAAATTAGTAATAAATAAAGTTGAAGATTATAAGGGAGAATAAAAATAAGGTAATTATAACAAAGGTGAATAAGTAAAGGCACTAATTAAAATATATACATTTATGTCTCCTTGTATAATTTAATTAATACCAACATTTATTTATTGACTTTATTTTTTTGTTATTTAATTGGAAGCTTATTTATTTATTGAGCATTTATTTATTTCTGTATTTATTTCTGACTGTGTCAGGATCGGTCCTCCATAGCGGGGTGGGAGAGTTATCAAGCACGTAAAGTTTGGTTCAGATGTTAGCATGTACACTGAAGTTACAACAACTTCCTGTGTCATGGCGAAGACTTGATCTTTGACGCCACGCCACGGACACACCCAT